TTTTTTCAAGTAACTTGACCAACACTGGTCATCACATTATCCAGTCCCTTAAACTTTAAATATTTGTCCACACAAGGCCACTCCTCAGCCACCAAAGAAGCAGCATCACACTTTGATCCAGTAGCAGTCCTTGTGAAAGAAGTCACATACTGTTTAAATTCTATTCATGTGTACATAAGGTTACAAAGAAAAAACAAAACATAAATACCTGACTCTATCCACAGAATCCCAAAAGACTGAAGGCGCTACAGAAAAGGCTGATTCTGCTCCAAAATGACTGCAAGCATAATAGGCAGTTTCTCTCATGGATCAACGCGTGACATAGAATGAATCCTGAATAGCTGACTTTGATTGTCAGTAGAGAAACATTGAACTGGAATTACATGATTTTTAACTGACTTACTGTGGCAAGTGACCAGGGAATCAGCTTCAAATACATGTATATCTAATTCAGCAGCCTGATGTTCACAGCTCTAGAAATGTAAGTGACATATCATAACCCATAATATTTGTGGTATGGTGTTCTGCTGGGTAGAATTATATTGTGTAAACTGGTGAATCAATAAAAGCTTGGTAAATGGCAAGACAGCAGTGCAATGGTTAGCACTCTCACCTCACCTTACAGCAAGAAGATCCTGAGTTTGAATCTTCTGACTAGTTAGGTAGATGCTTTCTATATGGAATTTGTAATTCCGCTTTAGCTGTGAAACACATAGCTGTTTAAATGTATTGACATTTTAAATTTCAGTTAAGGAAAAGTTGCAAAACTAGTTGCATATGCTGTCAGTTATAAATTTTAGAAAGAAAATATGAAGTGGTACAACAACTGAAATGGAAGACAAAAAAATTTCAAATGGTGAACGTGTAATTTTTAGTAGCAGCAGTAGTCATGTACTGTATCTGTGGTAATATTATCAGCGTTTACACGTGGTTGTCATGTGCCTGCTGTATTTTCGCACTATTAACAGGAAGATGGAGTAATCCACTGAATCTTAAGAGCTGTGGTGCAGTATCTCTTCTGATAAACTCTCAGAATATTTGTGCTCATGTGCATTCCTGTGTTTATAGGGAGGTGCTGGTGTATAAGAGTGATGGATGAATGTTTTCTTATTGTGCATCTGTGTCCCAGTTTTTAAAATGCACGTGCCGATGCACACAGCAAAGGATATAACCCTAATCCCGGTCCATTTACACTTTTTTCCATTTGCTTTTTGGTTGGCAAATGGAAGAAAGGGGGTTGGTTGCTGGTAATTTGCACAACGGCACTGTGCAAAAGTCTTGAGTCAAAGAACACCCCCATCCAGCTATATTGGAATTTTTTTTCCAGTTTATCAATCTAAAGTGAATTCACTGTTTGAGTTTTGCTCTTCAACTCCCAAGAATAACACCCGGCACAATAACCTTTTTGCCTTTTTGTTCACATGGACTTTTTGTGTACATGGACAATTGTTTAAATAAATAAACAAATAAAAAGAAATTTTAAATGACTTTCCTAATGCATATTTTATTGCACAATTCATTATTGAAGCACAACATTCTTCATTTGCATGCGTGTGGCACTTCTGGTCCTCCATACTGGACACAGGAATGCAGACTTGAAACAGAGAACACAGAAAGGCACGGAAAAAAAAACCTTGGGGAATAAGTGATAAGTTGAACTTCAAAAAGAAAACATAATCTGGATATAACATCACAGAAAACTAAAAAAATAGAAACTATAGCTAGAATATGTAAATAAAGAACAGACTATGCAGAAAATATAACGATGAGCAAAACTAAAATACTAAACTCAGTCATTTTTTCATTTGTTATGCCACTTAGGACTGACATGTGAATGACTGAAAAAAATAAGAAAAGACCCTACTTAAAAGGGCTGAATGAGACTTCTGTCTGTACATAGCAAGCAAATTTGAAATACCACACTTTGGTGGTATTTCCCTTGGCAGAAACCGCTGAGTTTCATGTATTTTTGTTGTTGTTGTTTTAGGTTATATCTATAGGAACTGCACTGAGAAAGGATGGTCGGACTTCTACCCATCCTATGAAGAGGCCTGTAAGATTCCAGAGGATGAAGAAATCGAACCAGAGGTAAACATTGCTCATTCTCACTTAGAGATCCAAGACTATTTGGTGGATTTTTTTTCTACTGATATTAAAAGAATTCATTGTGATAAAAATATTAACGTTTTTTTTAATGATCTCAGCACCCTGCACATTTTTCAGCTACAGCCTTGCAGAAGACCATCTGGGTCGGTATATATTGTGATTTATTTACTATGTTTTGTTTGTTTTCATTTTATTTTAGTTTGCTATGTTGATTCCAGAGGTGGCAAAAGTGCAGATATTCTTTACTTGTGTACAGATACTATAAAAATACTATGGTAAACGTTTAAGTACCGAATCAACTTTTTTTACTCAAGTGAGAATGAAGTGGTGCAAGCTCTGAAATGTACTCAGAGAAATAAAGTTAAAAGTAGCTCCTTGAAAAATTATTCTACCAGATATTTTTGTACAAAGGGTAACTGAACTAAATGCTAATTCTAAAAAATGTGGTCAGATTGAATCTGTTATATAAGACACAAGCAGTAAAAAAGAATAAAAAAGAAATATTTTCTGTTGCCTACATTGTAAAGGGTGACTTTGCTTCCACATATAAACAGAAAAATACAGTAAGGAGTTCAAGTGGGATTCAGCAGCTGGGTGAACCCTTAGACTACTTGTAGTAGCTCAGTGTGGGGACACGAATCACAACTCACAATATTTTCTAATGTGAGCTTCAGTAAATTGTCTTTGTGTACAGGTTGTGATCAGGTGACCTGCTGTGCTTTTTGGATTTACAAAGCCTAATTTAACAAGATATCAGCAGATGTTTCTAGCTAACCTGTTTACCCTGCACAAAACTACTGATAATTTTCATTTAGCATTTGAGTAACACAAATTTAATATACTTAGTTTGTTTTGCTGGACATTTCACAATATGAAACAATCCAAACACATATGTATATCTAATATGTAATTAAAAATGATGGCATTACATGTCAAATCTGCAGTTTATCAAGTATAATTGAGCGGTCCTTATCTATAAAAAATAAATAAGGGAGTCTCCAGAATTTTTTCATAGGGGTCGCCATATTGGGGCAGCTAAAAATATTGAGGTGGCATAACCAAAAACATAATTTGCTATTGTCAAATATAGTTTACTTGAAAAATTTGGCAAAAAGGAGAAAGATAAAATAATAATTTGTCTAGTTAATTTCCTGCTATTAAAGGTGATACCACTGAAAATATGTACATATGAAAACCAGGTACTTGATTTTAATATTTCTCAGCAGAGCTGAGCAGAAGCAGCCTGAAGCGTCATGGTCAGCGGGAGCTGACTGTGTGCGGCGTAAGTAAACATTATTACAAAATAAAGCAAGGCGAATAGGGGCAAGTAAACTAAACTAAACTGTGAAGGACTGACTATAACAAACATGACATGAAAATAATTCTGAACATTATAAAGCAAAATAATTATACATGCAAGGAACTATGACGAGAAAACATGAACTGAGGAGAATCATGAAAATGCGTTAACCTGATGTGAGCTGGAGAGAAGGAAAACAGACGACCTGACACTGAACAAAGGAAGACAGGACTTAAATACACACAGGAGGTGATTGTGGAAGTGGAAACACATGGGGAAACAGCTGACTCAAATGAACATAATGACACCACAGGGGAAGAGTAAAACTAAACACATGGAACAAAGAAACATAAGACTTTTAAAATAAATCAGGAAACATTGAAGGATGTAAACATGACAACACAAGCTTGACAATATGGAACACACAGACATAAAACACATGACACAAAAACCAAGGACACAGATGATAGTAATTGCTGAACTGAAACTCAACTAGACCCTAAATAAGAATAACACAAGAACTTATAATCACAAACTTAACATAAGAACTCAAAAATACAGAGCGAACTGAAAATGTTGGGTCACAGACCCAGCCCCTGACATAAAGCTTCACTCTCCTAGAATGAAGTTAACTTGTTCAGGAAAGACAAATCAGTCCAAATCAAATTAGATCATGTAAGAGTGTGAAGTGTTTCCGGTCTCTATTTTGGGGGCTGGCCAGTGCAAACAATCCGGGTGATAACTGTGTGGAATCCTGTGAAACATGCTTTTTACGTTTTCTTCACAGGACTGCAAGAACAAGCATGTTTTGAATGTGATTCCTAATTAATCAAGTAGCCATGGATAACTGGAGAGGTGAAATATATTAATGCAGTTGCTGGTATTCTGGTCATCAGTGTTAATAATGAAACTGCTCCACCTATTTCTAAACAGATTTCTCCAGGGTTGGATTACAGTAAATTTGGTTCAGGTCGCATCAAATATAGTAGCTGCATTATTCAATGAACAACTCATAAAGACAAACATAATAAAACAGCAGATGGGTCATTATCTCGTCACATTATTGAACACTTGAAGGTTGTGAATGAGCGTTAGGTTAATACTTGCTGGTGTCTGTTTAGGATAATAGTTTGCCATTTCTGGACTGTGCTGTGCACACTGGGGAGAATGGAAAAGTCAGCATTTAAGTTTACTCCAAGCCCACACACAGAGACCAGTATCTACTCTTTGACTCCCACCACCCTCTGGAGCACAGACATGGAGTAATCAGCACACTACAACACTGGGCAGAAAGCATTCCCACTAAGCCAGAAGGGAAATAAAAAGAACACATACATGTAAAGAAAGCTCTCAAAACACGTGGTTATCCCAAATGGGCTTTCATCAAGTCAGCAAAGATGGGTAGGAAAAGAAGGTAAGGCACAAATTAGGGAGAAACAAGGCAAGGCAAGGCAAGGCAAATTTATTTGTATAGCACAATTCAA